GCCAAGCCAGAAGAGCACTCTTCCGGGAAAATATTAATTCATTCGCTCGCTAAGAGCCAGGGGGAGTCTTCGGTCTGATTCACACAGGAACTCCCGAAAGTTGACCGACTGAGGCCTCTTTCAACCTGGAACTGTTTTGGGCTGCAAACTTGTGGCCGGCCGGTCAGGACTATATGGCAATTTCTTTTCACTGAACTGATCTGAGTATTATTTGGACAACTTGGGCGCTTAGATCCGAACTATCCGGGGATATATCATTTGTGGGGTTCCTGTGAAAGTTGGATGTGATTTTGGGGTGTTTTTCTATATTTTATGTATGGTTCCCTGTAACTGAGAGATAATTGAGTTACCAACCTTTGACTCAATTATCTCCCATACACAGGGACATCTGGTAGGAGCTTGTGTTCTTTTCTATGGATACCCCATGCTCAAGGTCTGTGTATAAATTCTGTGTACCCATACTGAATAAAACCAGATATACTCCTAGCATTAAGTCTCGACTAATGTTTGGGATAGACCAGAGCTGCGAGGGAGAGCAAGGAGGCAGTGAGGATGGGCCAGGCCGGAAGTGCTAGATCCTAACTCCCAGCATGTCCACTGGACCCCAGGGAAGCCACCCTCCTGCAAAATGTAAGGAAATTGGAGGGTGGCTGTATTAAACTGGTGGGCAGCTGTATTAAACTGGAGGGTGGGTTTATTAAACTGGAGGGTGGGTAAGTGTAAATCTTGCATGTGTGTGTCAGTATTGCTGTCTGGGTGCATGCCTGTGTGTATGCCTGTGTGTGTCAGCATGTCTGTCTGTGTGTGTGCCTGTGTGTCTTTCTTTGTGTCTGTATGTCTGTCAGTTTGGTTCTGTGTGTCAGTATGTCTCTTAGTGTCTGTCAGTATGTTTGTCAGTGTGTGTCAGTATGTCTGTCAGTGTGTGTCAGTATGTCTGTGCCAGTAAGTCTGCCAGTGTGTGTGACAGTATGTCTTTCAGTTTGTGTCTGTGTGTTTGTATTTCTGTCAGTATGTCTGTGTGCGTGCAGTATGTCTTTCAGTGTGTCACGGCTTACCTTGGTTGCAGTCTGTAGCGCAGATATGTTCGCTCACCCTTGCAAATAAACATGGTACAAGGTGAACAGATAAGAAGCCACCTGGACTGTGAATCTGTGCACAGGCGCTGTGCAGGAAAGGTGCTCCAATATGCAGTACAGACAAGGTCACAACAGAAGGATAGTCACGGGTAAGCTGAAGTCAGAGGAAGCCAGAGGTCAGGATAAACGGAGAGTGGAGCCAAGGTCAAAAGCCGGGGTCAATCTTGAGAACAAGTTCAGGAGACAAGAAAACAGGAACTACACACGATCACCAGAGTCAAAGAACTGACTGTTCCAAGGGCGAGGCAGTGCTTAAATACCCGGTTGATGAGCGATCTGCCTCAGGTGAAGCACAGGTAATAGCCACAGAAGAAGTCCAGCCCCCAGTGCTGCAGACATAGCCAGGTATAACAAGGATATAATTACTCAAAATAACAAAATCTGCTGTGACTTAGAGGCAGTATAGCAGGCCCAGGACATGAAGGACCCAGGATCAAATCACCTGTGTGGCGACCACGACTGACCGTCTGGATTTCACGGTGAGAACGGTCACACAGTGTGTGTCTATGTGTTACTGTATGTCAGTATATGCATATGTGCCTTTGTATCTGCACGTGATAAAGATTGTGTGTATTTGCATTCAAGCTTCAACACTACATAAAAGCACACTCCTTCATTGAAACGTCAACACTACATACAAACATGCCTTTGTGTTAAACACCAAAATTATATATAAACACACCCCTTCATTCAAAAACAAACACTACTCAGAAATGCATTGTAGCATTCACATACTAAAAAAACACACCCCTCCATTCTCACAAACATACCCCATACAAAAATATGCTTACATTAAAACACATAAACACTGCTCAGTGCTAAATACAACTGTGCAAGCAGGCAAATGGTAGAGCTCCATCTACCTTTTGATAGAAAGGCCCAAACAAATGTTTGCACAGGGGGGCCCTCTCTACTTTAGTTCCACCACCGCATTGGGGTAAAGGGTGTGATTGCATGCCAGGGAGGGGGGAGGGGGCTCAGGGTCCAGGGGGCCCTAGCAGGCGGAGAAGGAACATCATAGTCAACCCTAGGCTAATAGGAAGTCATTATTTTCTAAACCTTCCATGTAGAGAATGTTGACTTGGGATGTTGGTAATATCAGCCCCACCCTAGCCAAATGAGAAGGAGTAATAAGCATAAATTGTGGCTTGGAGCAGGCACAGATTGGACCCGGGGGCCACACATTGTCCATTGGTCAAAGCTAACAGGGGAGATCAGGGGCTTGAATAGCACTGCTATGTTCCATGAGGGCTGGTGGGGAGATCAAAGTATTTAAATCTGGCAGGGGGAAGGATCCGGGGGCTCTTGCCTGTAGCTCTGCCATCATTTTCCTTTTGCAAGCTTGAAGCGTTGCTGCGTTTGTCACGGCTGTGATCTGACAAAGCACAATGCCAGATCTTGCAAGAGTGAACTCCATCAATAGTAGCAGCAGGCTAGACTTTACTAAGCACCACCAGTGCTTGCAATATCCCCTCCGAAGCCAAAGGTAAGAAGGGAGAGGGCATATATAGTTTATTTATAATTAAAATAAATAAAAATTTTGCTTTGCTCCCACCTAACCACCCCCCACACACATTGCAGCCCCCTATGCACACACATTGCACATTACATACACATTGCACCCTCACATACACATTGCAACCCTCTCACACACACACTGCATCCATCACACACACTTCACCCTTCACAGACACATTGCCACCCTCACACACACACTGCACCCCTCACACACACATTGTAAGACACACACACACACACACACACACATACACATTGCACCTCCACACACATTGCACCCCTCACACACACTGCATGCCACACACATATTGCATCTCTCACACAAACTGAATCCCTCACACACATTGAACCCCTCACTCACACACTGCACCATCACACAGAAACACACACTGCATCCCACACACACACACACACACACACACACACAGTGGACCCCTATACACTAGATCCCATATGTACACTCTATCCCTTATACACACACTATACCACTTACACACAGTTCATTCCATACACACACTACATCCCTTATACACACTCTGGATTCCCTACACACACTCTGGATCCTCTACACAAACACACACTAGATCCCCTATACACACTGCATCATGTATACACACATACACTACAGCCTCTAAGCACACACTTTCTACATCCCACTGGTTGCCTGTCAAGCCTCTTCTGGGATATGGAGCGTCCATGAGCCCCACTGAGCTAAACCCTGCTGTGCAGGGCTGGCTCATTGGCTTAGAGTGTCATCTGAGAAAACGGTTGGACTACTTACCATGGCAGGATGCTATAGAACACTTGGCACGATAACCACTATAGCAAGCTCTATTGGTTGTGGTGTTTTTTGTGTTCTTTTAAATAATATTATAGTAAATGGTCTTACTGTAGTTGCATCCATGTGATACAATTTAAAGACCAGCAAAACACTGATTGTCAGGTTCCAATATAAACACAAAAATACATTTATTTACTATTAAACTAAAGTAACTTGAAAGTTGCATGAAAAATAATAAAAATACTTTCAATTGTCCCAAATCAAGTCTACTATCCTTGATAATTGGTGAATCTAACAATTATTTACACTAAAGGTTATTAAAAAAAAAAATGGTAACCTATAAACATATCAGACTCATACAAAGTGGCATTACTTTGTTTCAGCCACTAGAGGTCATAGGAAGACAACAATAGGAAGACAGCTATAGCAATACAAACTCGATAAACGATAAACTAACAGGGTTATTTACTAAACACCTGATTTTGTACTAATGGAGACAATCCGGTGAAAATAACCAAATTCCACCTGCATTAGCAATTCTAATGTTTACTATGTGGTCAGAATTCGGTTGGCCCAAGAGAATCTGTAGCAATTTCCCATATACATTCGCTGTCTGAATTAAAATTGGTGCTTTTGCAAGAATAATTTGAAGTACTATCTGCCTGCTGGCAGCCAACTGACAAACAGTTAAAAATAATTCTTGGCTTGGCAAAGCCAGCTGCCACATTAAAAAATAAAATAAAAAATAAATAACAAGGCTATGGGGGTCAATAAGACTAAGGCTAAAACAAAAATGGAGGTTAAACAACTCTCTATGCCCCTCCCTCTCCCCCCTATCCCCCCCCGCCATACTTTTTTAAGACTTGACATTAGGTCTTTCCACTTTAATATTAATATTGGACACCATCCTGTCGCCCATAGGTGGGGGCAAGTGAGGACCTTAGATCCTCCACTCTGGTTATTATAAAAGCCTCCACCTGCTAACATAGGATGTCCCCCACCCAGGGCCAGTACAAGACTATTTTTCTATCAAGGCAAGACTAGCTACTTTCACCCCTCCACCCAAAACAAAAATTGCAAATTTTCTGTGTCTCTTTCTTCCCCCAGCCCCTCTTTTTGTCTTTTTCCCTCAATCCCCCTTGTGTGTCTCTTTCTCCCCCCAGCTCCTTTGTGTCTCTCTCCCCAGACACTTTGTGTGTCTTTCTCCCACCAGCCCCTTGTGTGGCTCATTGTTCCCTCAGCACCTCTGTGTGTCTTTGTCCCCCAATCTCCTTGTTTGTCTCTTTTCCACTTCCCCAAACCCTCTGTGTGTCTCTTTACGAGCACCTCTGTGGGTCTCTTACTCCCCCAGGACCTCTGTGTGTCTCTTTGTCCCAGACCCTTTGTGTCTCTTTCTCCTCCAGTCCCCTTTTTGTGTTCCTCTTCTTGTCTGTACCCCTTTGTGTGTCTCTTTGTCCCCCTGTCCTTTTGTGGTCGCTCCCTCCATCCCTTTGTGGTCTTCCCCAGTCCCTTTGTGGTCTCCCCACACCTCTTTGGGGTCTCTCCCCGTCTGTACCAACTCACCTCCCTCCAATATCAGGACACCAACCTGTCGCCCATAGGTGGTGCAGGTGAGGACCTTAGATCCTCCACGCTGGTTATTATAAAAGCTTTCACCTGCTAACACAGGATGTCCCCCACCCAGGGCCAGTACAAGCCTATTTTGCGATGACGGCAAGACCAGCTACTTTCACCCCCCCCCACCCATGGAAAAGTCACAGACCACAGTGGATGATCTTCTATTTCCTCTACCTAGTCTGCATCGACAAGTTACAGACCACAATGGAGGAGCTTCTGTTTTCTCTACCTAGTCTGATAGGAAGCTGCTCTTTGCTCTCAGTGAACATTTGTCACTGTCTGAACGGGTAGAGAAGCTCCTCTACCGCAGTCCGTGATTCAGCCATGCTACATACACTCTAAGTGACTACCTAGTTCACCTAGCAGTTGCCTGGCCTTGCCCTTACACCCATTTTGACATGTTCCCACCAGTTTGCCAAGTCATGGGACAGGGGGTGGTCAGTAATCTGTCCACCCCTATTACATATTTAAAACTCCACCACCTGATGCCCACTGGGTGGGCTATGTCCCTCCCTGTTATTTTTACTGACTAAGCAGCAGTGGTGGTGTTGCCAGCGGGCAAATAGTTCAGATTTTTTTTTAATCCAGGCCCAGATTTAAAGTTTGAGGACTTAATTAATTTGGTTCGGATTTCAGCCGACCAGCGGCGTTTGGTCTGACTGAAATCTAGACCAAATTCAGGTCCAAATTTGGACACTGTTATATTGCATTAACAACATCTACATCATTCCAGCAGCATTTTGAACACTGGTCGCTCTAAACCGGCGTAATTTAATAACGCTGAAATGCCTTCATTATTCCTGCGTCAAAACCAATGACAGAAATTAGTATATTCCTGAGACTCCCTCAAGTGCTTAAATATCAAGATCCATATATAATACAGAATGCACACTATAACAACCACAATGGTCAAGTTCAAAACTTTAATAAGTAGGTAAATTACAATAAATAACAAAAAATATAAATAAAGTAACAGAAAAAGAGGCAAATAGTAATCAAAAGTAATATACCCAAATCTTTTAAGCTTCAAGGCAGAAACACAAGTCACCAACTCCCCTCAATGTTTCAGCACCAACTGGTTGCCTTTATCAAGGGTATGTCAGAGAACGTGTTACCATTGTTCTGATTTCTGGTTTACTGACTTTGGCTTGATCTTGACTACTCTCCTTTCTGTAATCCTTGACCCTGGCTTGGTTTATCATTATTGCTACTTACTTCGATCCCAGACCACAGTTATTTCTTGACTTTGCTATTACCTCTTTACTACTTTTCTAGATTTGCATCTAGCCTGGCCAATTCTAAGTAATGCCAATATGTCCTTTCTCTTTTCTACCTTAGCTAAGTATGACCTGCATGTTGGGCCTAGTATTATTCTGACATAAAAGACTAATTCTTTTGAGTTTTATAGTCTAGTATTTATAATAATAAGCAGATTAGGATTTCATTTTTAGAATAATAACTTTTCAGATTATTTTAATAGGATTAAAACAATCGGGTCGGGGGGCGGGGCCTAACCGCAGAGCTGTGCAGACGCTCATCTCAGAAGCTCCTGCTAAACCGGGCACTTAATGCTAATATTAACTGCCATACAGGCACTTAATTGTGACCCCAAAGCTACCACTCGAGAGAGGACACCGAGGTGCAGAGATCGGTACCTCTCAAGCAACGAACCGAGCACACAATGAGGCCTACAAGCATGGCAGGCGCAGGGGAGGCGGCCGATCCCCAGCAGCAAGGCCACGCCGGAAAGCTGACTGCAAGCCCTCGCCCCCCCCCCCTCTGGACCGGTGGGGGTCATCCCGGTCCACCCCCAAACGACTACTGGGCGAAGCAATGGGCCAATACAGGCTCCGTGGAGCCCAAAAGCTACCGTCCCTGCGACCACCAAGATGGCGGAAGCCTTTCGCATCGCCGACACGTCTAACACATGGCGGGAAACTGAGATGCGACTAAACAGTATATTCACTGCTTTCTGGGAGTCCCTAGAAGCCCACATGAGGGGCTCGGAGCCTGAAGAGATCCCCAGACTTCGCCACAGGGTACTCCACAAGACGCCAGACGGGGAAAAACAGCAGCGTAACCCCAACGGCAGACGCAGCAAAAGGATGACACTTACCCAAACCAGCAGGGGCAGAGGCAGGACACACAACCCAAAAAAGAGGATGCTGGAAGGCGGCGGGTGGTCAAACACCGGCATCTCCAAGGCAAGGCGGGGAAGCGGAGGGAACCGCCGAAGACAAGCACAAGACCACCCCAAACAAGGCAGGTGAAGCTACACTCAGCACCCACAGCAACTCAGAACAGCCCAGGGGTTCTTAGCACCCACACGCCAAGGAGATCGCACCAGCTGCACCACCTACAGCAGGGGGTACCCACCCAGCCCCGTCAAGGCATCGGCTGACCCCAAAGGGACTGAGACTCTAACCCAGATAGTATCATCAGACACATAACTGTTTTTGCCCCACTGGAACTCACACGAATGTCTGATGACATATATCACTTATTTCGTTTCCTTACTATGTTCAGTTTTGCTCCTTAAAAATCCCATCACTCGCAGCCAAAATGGAGGTCTGCATATTAAGCTAAGATGCTAATGTAGCTAGGGGGTTTTACTTTTTACTTTTAACTTTTACTTTTCAAATCAGTGTTTTCACCTTATGCTCCACACAGTTAACCCTCTAGCACTGTACTTATCTAGTTTGTATACTTTTCATAAAATGCGCAGATTAAGCCAACAAGTTCAACTGCAATTTGTAATCAATAGTAGTCTATGCTTTGTTTGAGCATCTATATTCAAAAAATGTGCACTACTTTAAATGCCATAATTCTAAAATCAATGTGTTATGACCACGCTTATGTATGTTATTGTGGCAGAGTAAGCCGCTATGTTAACTCTTGCACGCAAAAAATAAAGAATTTAAAAAAAAACAATCGGGTCAAGTTATTTTTCTGTATTGTTTATAACATTGTTCTGTGAAGAAGAGACTTGCTTCTCTGCAGACACAAATTCACACTTTTGAAAACTGAAAATATAATCATCTGTGATATCTTTAAGATCACTGATGGTCAACCCATATCCTGTGTGCACTTGTGGTCGGCTTGACCCTTAAATATGGCCCATGAAAACAACCGTCAAATATATACTAATAGTGCGGTGTAGTAACTTGTCATTGAGAGCTGAGCTGCTGTAACTGGAAAAGCTCACGTAAATATATTTTAGAGACTAACATTTAGGCAGTAAGTCATAGCACTTCTTATACTTGGCTAATCCAAACACCTCACCAAGGCACCTCTGGTTATCTAATAACATCTGGTTTTACTGTATATCTCCGGTCCGGAGTCCTTGTAAGGTCTGGTATGCATCCTTCAGATGCCTCGCTGAATCATTTTTGATCATGTAATAACACCTATACTGATCAGGTTATTTTAGTCATTAGGCTAAAAAGCACTTTCCTTTAAGAGTTGTCTATCACTCTCGAAACCAACCACTTCTGGCGTCCCGCACGGATCACATCAGGCATAACAGCTAAGATATACATGACTGTACCTGTTTATAGTAGACTCTGCAAACTTAGCAACCATGTTTTCCTTTTCTTATCGTTCTTTTCAGTTGTTAGTATTGTTTTTCTTAAAAGTATAACTCCTGTGGGTACATTGCTACAAGGGTTCAACTTACCACCACAGAACCCCTTAAAGAATCCCCGCACAAAATGGCCACCACGCAGCAGCGGACAGGACCATCTAACATAAGTCCAGCCCTACCTCCCAGAAGTATAGATACCCCGGTAACCACCAGCCCCAAGAGGACACTAGCGTAAATGGCCAACCCTGACTGCTAATTCAGACAGCCCCTTACCCCCACCACCACCCAGACCACGATTACCTAGGACCGCACCATGCAAAGCAGGCTCGGACAGCACTAAGCATCATAATATACGAGCAATACCCACTAGGGATAACCTCGTAATAATACCAAACGGGCAACACACTGGAGTAACCCGATCCCCCGCCTCCACCTGACTTTAAACTCGCACACACGGTACCATAACCACTGTGAGAGCACACACGTGGACCAGAACTGGAAACATAGCATGGATCGGCTGCCCCACGACCCTCTATCCTGGTCACAAAAAAGCATACTGAACTACACATAAGTTTATGCTACATGGGAGACCCCCACAACACCAGGCCACCTAGCCAGTAAACGCCAACAATCATGAAGGCGAATGGCTACACAATCAGGGGCAAAGGGCTGAAATTATTAACTCTTGTTTAAAAATTCTTTAATGTTTTATATGTATGGTTTAATATAAAGCAGAATGCCATATGTTACAAAATGTTATGTTATGCATATGCAACCCACAACACCACCCCACTACTGACCCCTCCCCAACTCTAAACGGACCCAGAGATACCCAAGGCTACAACCAGAACACCGGCTCAACCCTGAAGGGTCGGCCCGTAGACAAACACCAACAGATCGACCAGGCCCATCGAAATGCCCAGCGGACCCTAACAAAGCACACCTTACAGGCTGTTACGGTTGCCTCCGGTCTTGCGGGAGGTTGGACCGATTGGATGTCCTGGTTCCCAAACTTGAAGAGTCGAACGCTGCTTCAATCGGCAAAAACCTGCAGGTGTAGAACATCCAACTAGCTATAGCAGAGCTAGGATTCACAGTTTCCTACAACACGAGTCGAGGCTGCGAGTTGAGGGTAAAACGAACTGACTTTTAATGGCACACAGGCATCACTAGTTATGCAAAATCCCAGGTCCAGGGACAACCCCCTCTGGACCTGATGGGATACAGTGAAAATACGAGCAGTTGACCAATAGTAATACAATGTATCCTTTAAAATTGTTACGGCCCAGCTTAGAGATAATGAGTCCAATGGTTGGGACAATGTAATTATCTCCAAGCGCCCAAAATCCCACGTTTTATTACAACATATAAAACTGAATAAAATTACATAACTTTATTACTTTAACAGACATATTTCCAATTCCACCATTCATTATGTAGCCCAGTTCTGAGCGCAGCAGATGGACGAATAACACTCAGAACTCACGAATGATATGGCTAGTTTCGTGTTTTGTTCCGAACACAAGATGGCGGCCATGTTTTTAGGTTGACAGGTGGACAGTGGGACATGGACCTAAAACCCCTGGAAAGAGTAACGGCTGAACAATTACACGAATACCGCTCACAGGCTGGTTGTCTTATCTCTTCGTAAACCTGAACGGAGACCGCCATGAAAGGGGGTACTTAACTTGCGGTTAACCGCAGCTTCAACGTTCTAATTGAGAACACACACCAGGATGCGGGTGGGCCTCGTTCGGAAGTCTTTCATGAGTTCAGTTCGGTGAATTATTACATGAACTAGGCCACCCGGAGATAATCAATTATGCTTGTGGTTAACCGCAGACCGCAACTTTCCGGCGGTCAATTAGCGGCACGCTGCGCTCGTGGGGTGGTCGGTTGTTTGGTACTTTCAAAGATGACCGGGGTTAAGTGGCGGCACACGCCAAGGGCTGGGTGGTCCGTCATTCGTATACACGAATAAATAGTTATAACTGGTCGTGGAATGTGTTCGTACAGTCTGAATACCGAACAGGGTATTGGGGAACAAAAGGGAGTACTTATGTAACAGTTTGTAGGGTTCTTGTAACACAGACATACTCCAACACACGACTGATAGTGGGAGAGGACTGCAACACAGTAAACACAACAGCAATCGATAGATCTGGGCAACACAATGCCAACTCACAACCTTCTATAAGCGACACTCACTTCTCCCAATTCTTAACCACGCAAACGCTGATAGACATTTGGCGAGCCCAACACCCCTCCACACAGGACTACACCCTGTTCCAAATTATTATGCAAATTATATTTTTCTAATTTACCTAAATAATTTATGTAAATAACAGTCAGCATAATTCTCATGTTATCAACTATTAAGAGTATAATTCAAATTTTATTGAACAAACCTCCTAATGATAACAGTATTTTTTTTAAACATAAAAAACTTACAATGCACTGTTCCAAATTATTACGCACAGTAAGTTTCAAAACACTTTATAGGTGGTAAAGAACTGAAAATTGCCATTTGTTGTGTTTGCAGCATATTTACTG